GCTGCGGAAATTCTTTGGTTCGCATCCCCCTTCCAGCATCTTTAAAGCCAACAACAGCCACTGGAGTCCTTCTCATTGCATGTCTCTGACCACAGGGGAGAAGTTTTCTGGGCCATGTGTTCTCAGACTCAGGTGATTAGATTCCTTGACCACCTCCTCCCTGGCCCCGCCCCCCCCCCCCATCAAAGGTAACAGTCCTATCTCAAGGTCTGTAACTTTAATCAATCTGCAAAGTCGCTTTTGCTATGTAAGGTAAGAAATTTACTGGTTCCCAAGACTAGAACATGTAGATCTTTGGGGGCCTATACTCTGCCCTTGTATTTACAAGCCCCAAAGCCACTACCCACAGCCAGATTTCTTAAAATACTTTTTCCTCCCCCATCCACTCCCTAACTGCAACTGCTTTCCCTTTGCCTCTTCAATATCTCCCCCCGCCCCCCCCCCCCGGCAAAACCTCTGTCACAGCCCAGCCCTGAGCTGCCTCCTTTATCCTGGCGCCCCCTTCCTCGTGGGCCTGGGGAGGGGAAACCGCTCCAAAAGGAAAGCGGGCTGCGGGCGGGAGAGACCCCTCGCGGGTGTCCGCGTGCAGCCTTGGGGTGGGACGCAGCTACCTTTGGCGACCTCTGCCCCGCCCCAGGCCCTGCCGACGGCCAGGCACACACGGGTCCCCAACTTCTGTCTCCTCCTAGACCTCGTCCCTCGTAGCGCTACTGGCTGTGTTGACCTCGACCCGCGGCGAGGACACTAGGAGCTCTCCACGCCCGAGCCCAGACCCCACACTCACGAACCCTGGAGGGAGCTTTCCCCCCGCCCCCTGGGGACCGCCCCCTCCAGCCCCCGCCCCGCGCCGCGCCCGCCGGCGGCCGTCTCCATGGCGCGGGGCGCACGCGGGAAGCCGGCCGGAGAGGGACGCGGGAACACGGCGCCCGGGTGAGTGCGGGGCGCGGGCCGGCGGCGGGGTGGCGGCATGGGCGGCCGGCATTCGGCCCGGGGGGGTACGGAACCGGGGCGTGCAGCGGGAGCCCTGGAGGAGGGGGCGGAAAGCAGCCCCTCCTCGCCCCTCCTCCCACCCCCTGCCGCTCCTTATCTCCTGGGACTCCGGTGGGGGCGGGGGTGGGGGGGAACCTGGGCTAGCGCAGACTCACTCTTCTCTCCTTCTATCTCGGGAAGGGTGGGCGCTCCTACCCCTACTGTCTCCCCCGCAACCCTCACCCCACGCCCCCAGCTCCCAGAGTCGCGATTAGCACGGGGTGGGGCACCTACCCTTCGGCCTCCAGTAAATATTCGTTAGGAGTCAGCCAGTCAAGGCGGGCCTTGAGCACCCAGGTACTTGCTAACTTGGGCCCCACAATACTGTCTATGGAAATGACAAAGAAATGCTCGTGATAAAATAGTAAGAGAAAAACTCAAGATTTCAGAGGGCCTTGCTGGAGTATTCATAGCATGTTCTCTGTGAAGCTTGTGCTCCTGTAAATACCCAGCGAAGGCTGGGGAGAAATACCTCATGTTGTCAACAGTAAGTGATACTCTCCAGTACCAATCTTAGCTTGGCTGCCTTAACAAAGTACCATAGACCGGTGGCCTACACGACAGATATCTATTTCTTACACTTCTGGAGGCTGGGAAATCCAAGATCAAGGTCCATTAAGGCAGGTTTCATTTTGAAGCCTTTTCTTGGCTTGTAGGTGGCAGCCGTTTCAAGGGAGAGAAAGTAAACTCTTTGGTGTCTCTTCTCATACGGGCACTAATCCCATCGTGGGAGTCCTGCCTTCATGACCTCCTCTGGCCCGTATCATCTCCCAAAGGCCCCCTCTTCATACACCATCACACTAGGGGTAGGACTTCAACATATGAATTTGGGGAGAGGGAGACAAAAACCCTCAGTCTGTAGCAGTACCTTTTAGGTGGTATGTTACAGTGGTTAAGAATTTGGGCTCTGGATGGGGTGCCTGGGTGGCTCAGTCGGTTGAGTGGCCGACTTCGGCTCAGGTCATGATCTCGCGGTCCATGAGGTCGAGCCCCGCGTCGGGCTCTGTGCTAACAGCTCAGAGCCTGGAGCCTGTTTCGGATTCTGTGTCTCCCTCTCGCTGACCCTCCCCTGTTCATGCTCTGTCTCTCTCTGCCTCAAAAATAAATAAACGTTAAAAAAATAATAATAAATTAATAAATAAATAAGTAAATACATAAATAAAAGAATTTGGGCTCTGGAACCAGGCTGCCTGAATTTGAATCCCCGTTGCTCCATTTACTAGTGTTTGCCCTTAAGCAAATCACTTCCCTCGCTTTGCCTCAGGTTTCCTGCCTGAGAATTCAGCATGTGCCAGGCTCTGTTCTGAGCATCCATCATGTACGAATTCCTTATTCCTCATAACAATTCTTTCTTTTCTTTTAAGATTTTTTTTTGATGTTTATTTTTGAGAGACAGAGAGAGCGCAAGCAGGGAAGGGCAGAGAAAGAGAGGGGAACAGAGGATCCAAAGCAGGCTCTGTGTTGACAGCTTAGAGCCCTCTGCGGGCTTGAATCCAAGAACCCATGAGATCATGACCTGAGCCAAAGTCGGACACTCAACTGACTGAGCCACCCAGGCGCCCCTGTTCCTTATAAGAGTTCTTTATCATCAGCAGCATCCCCATGTTACTGAAGAGAAAACTTTACATTTAATTTGCATTAAACCCTTACAAATACCAAAGAGTTTATTTTCCCACCATTTTTACAGATGGAAAAAATGGGGTTCAGGGAAGTGAAGTTGATACCCCCAATCACTCTACTAATAATTGACAGACACAGGATTCAAACTGGCTCCTCCTGCAACAAAGCCTGGGCTACCCTCTCCAGATGCTTTCCAAAAACAGTTTGGGGAGCCAACAGGCCCAGTCCTTGTTCCCAGCCAGCGCGAGTCACTTCTTTCCCTTCCCAGGCTTCAAAAGGAGCACCCCTTTTAATGTAACATAATACACACATTTTTGGATAGTCTCTATCTGTAAACTTTCCCAAATGGGAAGTCTCTAATAATTCCCATAAACCTTTGTCTCTATGAATGCAGTTCAGAGTTGCAGCTGTTACCTTAAGTTATTGTAACCGAACCAATGTGAGTTGGATCCTTGGGGAGTCCCAGATACACCAGGTGGAGCTGCCGTACAAAGTAAACTTTATTTGCAGCACATAAGGAGATCACAGGACATAGCTTCCAAAGTGTGACTCCCAGGGATAGGGTGAATAAGTTCCTTTTGTTTAGGGTTAGGATGACTATTTAGTCGGGGAGGCCTTGTCATGGTATGTAGAGACATGCACCTGAAGGCAACATGCCTACACATACATCGCATGTTATGTAAATGAGGCTGAGGCTCTTTCTTGGGGGGAAATTTTAGTATTAAAATGAGGGAAAGGTAATTGCTTATCATCCCAGAGGTCACTCTGTGGTCCATCTGCACATCGAGCTGGGGGTTTAGCTCAGTCTGGGTGGGCTGGGGCGGTGGGAGGCGTTGCCAGGGTAGTCGCCATGCCCTGAGGGGTGGTTTCTGGCTTCATTCGCCTGAGTTAAGAGGCAAGCTGGAAAGAAGGGCTTAAGGAAAAATATGAGGCAAACGTTGGTGAGTACAGGTTGGCGGGCAGTGAAAGTCAGGTCCTTGAGTCTAGCTGGTGGCGTTGTCACGTGGAGGGACCTTTCAAGGCTGAATAATTGAAAGGACAAATCAATACTGATTGGGTGGTTTCCTGTGCCCAACAAAATAATAATAACCTCAATAGTAATAATAAAGCCTATTGAGCACTTTCACTGCATACCAGGCATTGTGCTAAGTGCTTTATTTATTTTTTTAAATGTTTATTTAAAAAAAATTTTTAACGTTTATTTACTTTTGAAAGAGAGAGAGATACAGAGCATGAGCGGGGGGGAGGGGCAGAGAGAGAGGGAGACACAGACTCGGAAGCAGGCTCCAGGCTCTGAGCTGTCAGCACAGAGCCCGACGCAGGGCTTGAACTCATGAACCATGAGATCATGACGTGAGTCGAAGTCTGACACTCAACCGACTGAGCTACCCAGGCGCCCCAGTGTTTACTTATTTTTGAGAGAGAGGAAGAGAGAGAGGAAAACACAGAATCCAAATCAGGCTCCAGGCTCTGAGCTGTCAGCACAGAGCCAGACATGGGGCTCAAACCCAGGAACAGTGAGATCATGATCTGAGCTGAAGTCGACCGCTTAACCCACTGAGCCACCCAGGCCTCCCTATGCTAAGTGCTTTATAAATTTACCTTACTCAATCCTTGTGACAACCATAATCCATTTTACGGATGGGGAAATAGGGCTTGAAAAAGCTTCATAGAGTACCTAAAGCCAGTGAGTCAAGGGGTATAGACAAAACTAAGATCCTGGTCTTGTTCTCCTTCAAAGCCCATGTTCTTAACCACTATGGACATGCTGCCTCCAGGAAGTATGTCTATAAAGAGAACTATGCCATGTTAAAATCAGTATGTCTTTTGTAATATTTAGTGCCCACCATTATTAATTGCATTCCTTTATAACTGAGTTCCATGGGTTCTGCCCCCATTTTAAAGAATCTAGAAGAAAGAACATGAATCCATGAATATAGAGATTGGAAATTGAACAATTCAGCTCAACTGTCTCTATGTTGATTTTCGACTCCCATTTTAAGATACATGAGGCACTTTAAAGTTTTCAGAGAAGGGTGTGCAGCAATATTTGCCAATTTTTAGTTGGGGAGGTGTGATCTGCTCCTTAAAAAGACTTGTATGTATTGGGTTTCAGGGCAAGTTACAATTTTCAGAATCCATATGGAATCTAACCCTGTAAGACAATGCCAAGAGAGAAAGAAGGAAAACAAAAAACTAAAGGAACACCCCTGCCCATCGTTCCAATTCTTCAAAAGTTCCTGAAGACCTATCAGAAGCATTGTGCACAGACTCAGACATCTGTGTGTCCAGCCATCAAACAGGACTTGAAAACCAGCATCAACAACGAACAGATTCTCAGGAAAGTGAGTGTGTGGCCTCCTCTTCTTACTCTTCTCTGAAAGGAACTGACTCAGGTTTACTCCTTAGGAACATGGGTCCTCAGAACTCTCCAGCCCAAACTGGTGGTGTCATCCCCTCTGCTTCCTGCCTGAATAAAGTCCAAAGCCTGCCTCCAGTACCCAGGCTATGTTCAGTACTTCTGCCTTCCTCCTCCTACCTCCAAATCTACTCATCCCAGTCCTGCAGCAGGCCTGCCTTTTCTCATACCACTTTACATCTGGAATAGCCAACCTGCCCCTCCCACTCTACATCTGGAAAGCCCAGCTCAAAAGCACCATTTTTGTCATCATTGCCCCTCTCCCCAGGTCTTTCTAATTCCTTCCTTCGCAGCGCTTCTCTGGACTCCCCCACACACCTCCCTGCTCATCCCAAATTCAGGAGCTTCTCAGAGCCATCGTTTTATGGTAAAATAATTACTACTTTATTTTATATAAAATAATTCTATACTTCTTATCATTAACCTCCACTACTTAATCATAAGAGTTAATTATAAGCCTTGTTCAAATTTATAGTCCCTTAAGCAATGTTTCTAAACATTTTAAATTACAATCACTGTCAGAAATACAATTAACTTTGGGATACCTGGGTAGCGCAGTCAGTTATGTGTCTGACTTTGGCTCAGGTCATGATCTTGTGGTTCGTGAGTTTGAGCCCTGATTTGGGCTCTGCATTGACAGCACAGAGCCTGGGGCCTGCTTCAGATTCTGTGCCTCCCTCTCTCTTTCTGCCCCTACCCCCCCTCTCAAAAATAAATAAACATTAAAAAAAAGAAGAAGAAGAAATACAGTTAACATCATGACCCAATATTAAGTACTGGAGTGAATCATAAGACTACAGGGGCTGTTTGTGTCGGGTGGGTTGCTTTGGTTGGGTCTCCATTTTGATTTTGAGCATCACTAAAATAAAAGTCTCATGAGATGTTTATTCTTTACTACATAGGATACACTCAGATAATTTCTCTTCTATTTCATTCATTCAAGAAAGAAGAAAAGCTGGTTACAGCCTACTCAGTTTATTTCCTAACCCAATAATGGGTAGTAACCTATTGGAAAAATCACTGCCCTGTGAGATTTTTCACGGGGCTTTGCGTATGGCAGGAACTCCATAAGTTTTTGTTGAATTACCACCCCAATGCACATGTGATCCAAGGTTAATTACTATTTTAAATGTTCTAATGTTGTTTAATGACAATATTCTTTTCCTACATATTCAGATGCATGGACATGTCTTTATGATTCCCACCTGTAATTTTTTTTCTGACACTCCAGTTTATACTTGTGAGACCTGATGACTCCCCACCAAGCATCCTGCCAATTTCCTTGGAACCTTTGCTCATGACAATTCGAGATGAGTGTTACCTGCTAGGGAAAGAGATCTGTATCTGGGGCCTTCAGCTGAGTAACCCAGAGATTGCCAGACTGGTGAGTCATGCGTTTTAAAAATATTCCTTCAATTAAACTTAAAATTGAATATAAACATAATATATCTGTATTCCAGCTATAGTTCATTTGGTTATTGACTGATATGCTATAAGCTTTTCTTTAAAAATTTCTTTTAATGTTTATTTATTTTTGAGACAGAGAAAGACAGAGAATGAATGGGCGAGGGTCAGAGAGGGAGACACAGAATCTGAAGCAGGCTCCAGGCTCTGAGCTGTCAGCACAGAGCCCGACGCGGGGCTTGAACTCACAGACCGTGAGATCATGACCTGAGCCGATGTCGGACATTTAACTGACTGAGCCACCCAGGTGCCCCTACAAGCTTTTCTTTAAAAAAACATGTATTTTTTAAATGTATATTTATTTTTTTTGAGAGAGAGAGAACACAAGCAGGAGAGGGGCAGAGAGAGAGGGAGAGAATCCCAAGCAGGCTCCACGCTGTCAGCACAGAGCCTGATGTGGGGCTTGATATCACAAACCCATGAGATCATGACCTGAGCCTAACTCAAGAGTGGGATGCTTAACCAACTAGACCACCCAGGTGCCCCAAAACAATGTGTATTTTTTTAAATAAATTTTTTAATGTTTATTTTTTGAGAGAGAGAGAGAGAGAGAGAGAGCATGCGAGCAAGTGGGGGAAGGTCAGGGAGAGGGAGACACAGAATCCGAAGCAGGCTCCATGCTCTGAGCTGTCAGTGCAGAGCCCGACACAGGGCTCAAACCCACGAACCGTGAGATCATGACCTGAGCTGATGTTGGACACTTAGTTGACTGAGCCACCCAGATGCCCCCAAAACAATGTATTTTTAATGAAGCATTTCAAACTTACATAAAAGTGCAAAAAAAAAAAAAAGAAATTATGGTATATTCGTATAGTAGGAAACTGTATAGCAATGAAAATACATCAACTACAGCTATGCAAAAACAAAATAGGATGACTCTCATAAGCCTAATGTACAAGTGAAGAAAGACACAAAAGAATACATGCTATATGTTGCATTTTATAAAGCTTAAAAACAGGTAAAACTATGATGTTTGACTATTATAAAATTACTTTTAGGGAGGAGAAAGGAGGTAGAAATTGGGAGAGGACATTAGTGCCCATTTTTCTAGTTTCTTGACTATTGGAAAATGCTTTGTTTTATGTCATTGAATGTGTTAAACTTCTCATCTGTGTCTAATAGTTTCAATAATCTGAATTATTTTGGAGTCTGATACTGCTGACTGGCTTCTACTGGCTCCTACTCATGGGACATTTCTTCATGTGTTTTTGTGATTTCTTTTGTACTAGAAACTCCTATTTCCTGGGGAAAGAGTTGAGGCAATTCCTTGAGCTCTGATTTGAAGATAGAATCCTTTGAGAGGGTTTGCATTTGCTTCTGCCACACACTCAGGGTGATAGCATCTCAGGGCTATACTAAATTACTAATTTTTTTTAAGTTATTTATTTTTTGATGGCGGGGGGAAGGACAGAGAGATAGAGGGAATCCCAAGCAGGCTCTGATCTGACAGGGCTCGAACTCACAAACCTTGAGATCATGACCTGAGCCGACGTCTGATGCTTTAACCCACTGAGCCACTCAGGTGCCCCAAATTAGTACATTCTTGATCTGAGGTCTCTGAACCATCCAGGTGGTATCAGTTCAGTGTGCAAATACCTGTGTTAAGACTAGCTTGTGAGTTCATAGTGGGTATATTTTTTTCTGTGTAGTCAGGCACAGTTTGAGAGGCAGTTTTCCCTGGGGAAAGAAGAGTTAGGTTTCTTTCTAGTTCATCCTTAGTCTAAGGACGTAGTGCAGTAGCTCACTTTATGTTTGGGGCCATACCTTTATGCAGCATTTCCTCTCAGACTCCTCACCTCCAGTGGCCTTGGGCCTTATCTCTTGTCCCCTGGACTGCCTGATCCATGAAAAGCAAAACCTGACTCTGCTGCTTCACTGATGCTCTCAAACGGAAAGCTGGCTTCAGTGCCCTGCAAATCTCCCTAGGTTCCCATTTTCTCTCATGCACCGACCTTTGGGTATTCCTCACTAACCTGCCAATTGACACATTTTAAAAAGATATTTTTAAAACTCTGAGAAGAAAGCATAGAGGAAAAGCTTCATAATGTTGGACTTGGCAGTCATTTCTTATATATGACACTAAAAGCATAGGCAACAAAACTAAATGATTTGGACAAAAAAATTTTCAACTTCCGTGCATCAAAGGACACAGTGAAGTGAAAAGGCAACCCGCAAAATAAGGAAAAATAATTGCAAATCATGTATTTGATAAGGGGTTAGTATTCTGGATGTATAAGGAACTCCTACAATTCAACCACAACAAAAAACAAACAACTGATTTAAAAATGGGCAAAAGACTTGAGTACACTTTCTCCAAAGAAGGTATACAAACAAACAATAAGCGCACAAAAAATGTTCACCATCACTAATCTTTGGAGAAATGCAAGTCAAAACTACATTGAGATACTACCTCAGGTCAAATAGTATGGCATCTATCAAAAAAAGCAGAATAGAATGGGTTGACAGGATGTGGAGAAATTGGAAAATTTGTACACTATTGGCAGGAATGTGCATTGGTGTAGCCACTATGGGAAATGGGATGGAGCTTCCTTAAAAAAATTAAAAATAGAATTACCATATGATTCAACAATTCCACTTCTGGAGATATACCCAAAAGAATTGGAAGCAGGACCTCAAAGAGATATCTGTATGCTCATCTTCATGGTTGCATTATTCACAATAGTCAAAGGTGGAAGCAACCCAAATGTCCATTGGCAGATGAATGGAGAACAAACTGTGGTGGATACATACAATGGAATATTATGCAGCCCTACAAAGGAAGGAAATTCTGACCCATGCTACAACATGCATGAACCTCGAAGAACTTATGCTAAGTAAGAGAAGTCAGTCACAAAAGGACAAATATTATATCCTTCCCCTGTATGAAGTACCCAGAGTAGTCAAACTCGTAGAGACACAAAATAAAATGGCAGTTGCCGGAGGTTTGGAGGAGGGGAGAATGGGAGTTATTTTTTAATGGGTATAGAGTTTCAGTTTTACGAGATGAAAAAACTTCTGGAGGTGAATGGTGTTGAGGGTTGCACAACAATGTGAATATACTCAATGCCATTGAACTGGACACTTAAAAATGGTTAAGATGGGGGCATCTGGGTGGTTCAGTCGGTTAAGCATCTGACTTTGGCTCGGGTCATGAGCAGGACTTTGGCTCGTGAGTTCAAGTTCCATATTGGGTCCTTCCCCAGCTTGTGCTCTCAATCTCTCTCAAAAATAAATTAACGTTAAAAAAAAATGGTTAAGATGGTAAATTTTTTAAATGTTTATTTTTGAGAGAGAGAACGGGAGTGGGGGAGGTGCAGAAAGAGAGGGGGACAGAGGATCCTGAGTAGGCTTCATAATGGCAGAAGTGGAGCTTGAATCTATGAACTTACTAGGTCATGATCTGAGCCAAAGTCGGCTACTTAACCGACTGAGCCACCCATGTGCCCCTAAGATGGTAAATTTTATTGTGTATTTGACCACAATTAAAAATAAATTTTAAAAAGTTATCTTAAATACAGAACCAGAATTTTTAGTTGTTTTTATTAAAAGGGTCAGTCCATTTAAGCAGGAATAGAATGCTGTCCATCCATGCATATTAAAAGTGATCGTTAAAAAAAAAAAAGTGATCCTTAACAGTTCTTTAAAATGTAACCCTCTTGGTCACCTGGAGGCTGCTGAGGAATTCTGTGGTAGATGGCTGTGGTCTTGCCCACAGCAGTACTGGTGCCCCAGGGAGTGACACTGTAAACCACTGGCCAAGATCTTTAGGACGTGGTCAAGAGCCTATTTTGCACAGACCAGTGTTACCATAGGCAGTGACATGCCACATTGCCTCCTTGGTCAGAAACACAGCTTGAGAAATCCAATCCAGCACTAAAACTAGGTGTTTTCTCATTAAAGAGGCCTCAAGCACCAGCTCTCTATAGTTAAGGCTGCAAGGGCTTTTATATTCTCAACCGACATATAAATTTGGAATGTTATCTCTGACCAACATGTCATTACCTCAAGAAACCCTAAATCCTCCAAACCCCACCAAAGCCTCTTTTAGGTTTAAATGCTGAACTGAAGAAATCCTTAAGTTGTGGTGATTCTAATTGCTAAAAGGTGGCCTTTGTGATTTATAGCTTTAAATACCTTCTCCAGTTAGGTAGGGATTTAATTGTCACTGGAATCCTGTTACCACAAGGAATGGCCTTCCCATGGATCTCTCCATTCAGGAGACCGAGAGAACTTGAGATGGTTCCAAATGTTCATGTGTTGCCCCCGGTCCTGTGGCTTCACCATGAAAAGCACCTCATTGCTGAATTTACACAGTCTAGTTCTGCGTAGACCTCTAAATGCTAATATCTGGGGACACCTGGGTGTCTTGGTCAGCCGGGCGTCCGACTTCATCTCAGGTCATGATCTCAAGGTTCATGAGCTCAAGCCCGACGTCGGGCTCTGTGCTGACAGCTCAGAGCCTAGAGCCTGCTTCTGATTCTGTGTTTCCTCTCTCTCTGCCCCTCCCCTGCTCACAGTCCCTCTCTTTCTCTCTCTCTCTCTCTCTCTCTCTCTCTGTCTCTCTCTCTCAAAAATAAACAAACATTAAAAAAAATAAATCTTAATATCTGTAATAGTGGCTATCACTTGTTTAGGAGATAATTTAACTATTATAATTTTGCCTAATTGTAAGAAGATTGGCATAGTGATAGTTTTTTACTAAAAAAATATAACTGTTACAGGATTTTTTTTTTACCTCAATACCCAGGATTCCTTGTCGCTTTGAGGAACGAAGAAGGGGACACAGAGTAAAATGAGCAGCAGGCAAAAGTATAAGATCAGAAAGTAAGAATAGTAGGAAAACTCTTTTTGCAGAGAGGGAGCATTTGAAAATAAATACCCCCAACTATAGGCAAGGGTCTTTGTTTTTTAAGGTTTTGGTCAATGCCCCCTCCCCTTCCCCCTCGTTCCTTGTCAGGTTCCACCCTTACCGGCTGGATAGCTCTAGGTGCTGGGCTGTCCCTTCCAGATTGGCTTCATTCCATTGTGTGAGGAGTCAGAGCGGTCTTACTGTCCCTCAGATAACATAAATTGTATGGTTTATTTAGTTTCGTTAGGTATTTTGATTGTCCAATTCCTGAGGGGAACCTGAAGGGCAGTAGGTGGTGTTTGTTACATTCTTAAGAGGAACTTTATGCCTGAGTGAGTTTGCTGTGGTCAGATACTCCCAGCATTGTTCCAAAATATGTGTTTTTACCCCACCCAGGGACCTCAGGTCCTAACCTTTCCTTCTCTGCCTATTTTATCCTATCTCCCTATCATACAACCATAGGAAAATAAATTTGTTGGTTAGAGAATCAACATCTGTATTAGTCTGCTGGGGCTGCCATAACAAAGTACCACAGATTGCAAGGGTTAAACAACAGAAATTTCTTTTCTCACAGTTATGAAGGCTTAGAAGTCTGAGCTCAGGGTGTCAGCAGGGTTGGCGTCTTTGAAGGCCTCACTCCTTGGCCTGTAAATGGCCACTTTTTCCCTGTGTTTTCATGTTACCTCCCTCTCTATACGTGCCTGTGTCTAAATATCCTTTCCTTATAAGAAAGTCAGTCATATTGGGTAAGAGCCCACCCTAATGACCTCATTTTAAATTCATACCTCCTTGAAGACCCTTTTTCCAAATGCAGTCACATTCTGAGGTACTAGGGGGTAAGACTTCGGCATATGAATGAGGGGAATGACGCAATTCAGCCCACAGCATCTAAAAAGATATGCTGCAGTATATCTCATCACAGAGTGGCATTTCCCATTTAATTCTTCATAGTGTGCCTTTAAAAAAATTTTTTTTAACATATATTCATTTTTGAGAGACAGAGAGAGAGAGAGAGCATGAGTGAGGGGGAGGCAGAGAGAGAGGGAGACATAGAATCCGAAGCAGGCCCTAGGCTCCGAGCTGCCAGCACAGAGCCCTACGCGAGGCTTGAACTCACGGACTGCAAGATCATGACCTGAGCCAAAGTCGGACACTTAACCAACTGAGCCACCCAGGCGCCCCTAGAGTCTTCCTTTTAAAGGGAAATTATTTTATCTTCGTGTCACTTTCTCCTTGGACATTGGAAAGTTGTCTTAAAGGCAAAAATGTTGGGGTAATTAACGTAATCAACTTTTAAGAAACATTAAAACACAGAGCGTATTTGTCTTCATTGTGTAAGCCCTTTCTCACCTCATGTTCTTAGGCTTCACTTCTGGAATTGAAGGGGCGCGCCACCTGCCCATTTACCACCCTGGAACTCATTGACTGCAGGATGGATCTGTGGTCTCTGCAGAGACTGGGCAGGGCTCTGCCATGCAGCTATTTGCATTCTCTTGTCCTGGATTACTGCAGGTGAGTTTGGAAGGCAGAGTTCCTTCAGGGCTCTGACTGCTGAGGGAGGCAGAGGTAAGGAGCTCAGAGTCCTGGTTCCTTGTGGCTCATCAGGTCATCACAACTCAAAAATCTTCTTAGAACTAATGTTTCTGAGTAAATGTCAGGGTTCTCAAAAGGATTCTTCCTTCCTCCCTCCTTCCCTCCCTCCTGCCCTTCCTTCTTATTCATTTATTCTTTTAACAAATATTTATTGATGGCCTGTTTTTGCAAGACACTGTGCTCAGTGCTAAAGAAGATACAAATATATATAAAGCAATGCCACTGTCCAAGGAAGTCCTCTGTATAGTGGAAGAGAGGAGACATGCTCTTGATTGTGTATAACGGAAGGGAGATCACAGAGGATATCCGTATAAATTTTTTTTTATTATTTTTTTATTTTTTATTTTTTTTTAAATTTTTTTTTCAACGTTTATTTTTGCGACAGAGAGAGAGAGCATGAATGGGGGAGGGGCAGAGAGAGAGGGAGACACAGAATCGGAAACAGGCTCCAGGCTCTGAGCCATCAGCCCAGAGCCTGACGCAGGGCTCGAACTCACGGACCGCGAGATGGTGACCTGGCTGAAGTCGGACGCTTAACCGACTGCGCCACCCAGGCGCCCCTATTTTTTTATTTTTTACAGAGAAAGAGAGCACATGTGCATGAGGCAGAGGGACAGAGGGAGAGAGAGAGAGAGACAGAGAGAGAGAGAGAGAGAGAGAATCTCAAGCACACTCCATGCTCAGTGTGGAGCCCTACATAGGTCTCAATCCCATGACCCTGGGATCACACCTAAGCCAAAATCGAGAATCAGATACCCAACCCACTGAGCCACCCAGGTGCCGGGTTTGTATAAATTTTAGTCGTGGTTTGGATAAGGGAAACCATGATTCCCTAAGGGACAAGTCATTATTCACCAGCAGAGGAGGTGGGAGGAGAGGTGTGGTGCTAGGGAAGAAAGAGGAAGTCTTTCGAGGGCTATGGCACCAGGCTGTCAGGAGAGAGTCAGGGAGCAATAATAATAATGATAATACCAGCTAATTTTTATTGAGCGCTGTGTGCCAAGCACAGCACATGGATTATCTCATTTATTCTCCCGACAATAGATAGATAGATACCGTTACATATGGACGTATGATATATGACAGATGTTTATCATTTCTATCCCTTGACTATAGATGAGCAAAGACTCAGGGGATTAATTGGCTTGTTCCAGGCATTCACCTCTTAGGGATAGAGCCTAGATGTGAATCTAGCTGGCTGAATCGGAGCCCACTTCTGATCCGTGATACTAGATTGCTGGGGGGTCTATAGTTTGCCATCCGTAAATAATTTTAAGCTGCTTGTGTGATGCGGGGTAGGTCCTGCAACCTCTCTGACCTATGAAGTGATCTCGTCCACTTCCCAAGTCTTTGATTCTGTGACTCTTCTTCTGGAGCCAGGTAGGGTCCTGTACTCAGAAGGCCAGTGGGCTGTGAGGTGAAAGAGATGATTCATGCCTGACAAATGGGACCACAGCAACACAAAGGCCCCTTTAAAGAACTAGGGTCTTATTAGGGCCCTGGTGGTGACAGTGGACAAGTCTCCAGCAAAAGCTGAGAAGGACTATCTCTGGAGGTTCTCCATGTTTCTGAAAAGCTTGGAGGAGCCTGAGTCAGGGTCTCCTAACATAGGACAGCAGAAAGCCAGTGCCCTCAGGACACCCTGCAGTGACTGAAGACCGACTTGGGAGTCTCCCAGCTTCCCGCACTGCGCTAGACAGACCCAGCCCCGCTGCTGAGACCCCTCTAGACTCCAGCTCCTCCATTGGTGGGGAGAGAGAAGGAAGAAAGAGGGAATCCTCCTCTTTAGAAAACACCATATTTTAATTGTTGTTTAATATGTTAACACCATATTTTAACAGTTGAAATCCTGCTGCTGCCAAGACACCTGGAGTTGTCAGTGTTGGGTGGTTGGGAATCACCACTGGTGAAATGGCAGGTTACTGAGGGACTGGAGTTCTTTCCTCCTATTTTCCCTGAGGCTGTGAAGTCCACCAGGCAGGATGTCCTTCTTTCTCATACACAGCTACACCCCCACACCCACCACGGTAGCCGCCCACCGTAATTACTTATTGGATAAACTAGTAAATTTAAGAAGTTGTTTCTGTTAATATGACTCACCTTATTGGAAAGGTCATCCCTTGACATTCCAAATTCCCTGGCATGATGCTTGTGCCTTCTCTCTGCAAACTCCAAGGACTGGGTGGTGCAAGGCGAGGAGCAGCATGAGGCCAGGAAGGAAGGCCAAGAGGTTGAACTTTCCTGAACCTGCTCTGGACATACTTTTTTTTTTTTTTTAATTTTTTAATGTTTATTTTTGAGAGAGAGAGAGAGAGCGAGCACAAGCAGGGGGGCACAGAGAGAGAGGGGGACACAGAATCCAAAGCAGGCTCCAGGCTCTGAGCTGTCAGCACAGCGCCCGTCACGGGGCTTGAACCTACAAACCATGAAATCTTGACCTGAGCCGAAGTCGGACGCTTAACTGACGGAGCCACCCAGGCGCTCCTGCTCTGGACGTACTTTAAAAGGCTCCCTTCTTACACAGCCTCCTGCTGCTGGAGTCTTCTCAGACCCCTCCACTCCTGTCAGCTGGGCAATCTCTCCTGTCTTTAGGATCCAGAGCTTGCTCTCCATCTGCTCCTTTGGGTATTTCAAACCATGCTCTGCTCCCTTTGCCCACGAGTCAAACTCTGGGTCCCCCTTCCTCCACATGCAGGCTGTCTCCATCAGTCACCCAGCCCACCCCCGTAGCCACCCTGGCTGTGGAAGCCCAAAGTGGGGGTCGGCAAAATCTGATCTGCCTTGGGGGGTCAGGGAGTGCCTTAAAATGAATAATCCAACAGGTGACATAGGTTTTAAAAGTCACTATTTGTTCCCATTTCTTTCTAGATTTGGAAATGAAGAAATTGAGAGTATTTTCTCAGGCCTGGAGAACAACCAAAGGCTTCAAGTCCTCAGTCTGCGCTACTGTGGCCTGGGGCCACAAAACGGGCCACGGCTGGGCTCCATCATATGCCAGAGCTCCATTTGGTGAGATGCGTCCCCTGCTCCCCTCCTGCTTCTGGCTCTGTTCTGTCTTGAGTTGTATAATCAGCTTGTTTACAGAGTCTACGAACCCATGAATTCCCCTGAGTTTTCACAATGTTTTTAGTCATCTTTTTCTACTATCTAGTTATTTTTGTTTTCTTTTTCTTAACTGCAAGAGAAAGATCCTTTAGTTACATTTAAGAATCAAGGGTAACATGCTAAACGCATATCTTTGGCCCGATGACATGGTCATTAGGTCTATTTTTGACGATGTGGTCTGCTATCTATTATGATTATTTATTATTTTGTAACCAGGTCTATTATGAGGTAAGACCTCAAATCCAAATTTGAGGAAGTGAAAATAATATCAGGTGAACAGTGTATTTCACCTCTTCCCCAGTGAGCTGCACCTTGATGGCAATTACTTACAGTGTTCTGGAGCCCTGGCTCTCCTCAGACCCATAGCAGAGTACGCAGAGATGCAGGGGAAAGACCAGCCAGACACCAGGAACTCCCCTCAGCAGCTGCAGGGTAAGTGCTGGGGAACTTCACTCAACACTCTTTGGGACCACCTAAAGAAGGAAACTGCTTTGTGATTAAAGTGACCTTTCCTTGGGTGCCTGGGATGACTCAGTCGGTTAAGTGTCCACCTTTGGCTCAGGGCATGATCTCATGGTTCGTAAGTTCAAGCCCCGTGTCAGGCTCTGCGCTGACAGCTCAGAGCCTGGAGCCTGCTTCGGATTCTGTGTCTCCCTCTCTCTCTCTCTGCCCCTCCTCACTTGTTCGCGTGCTCTCTCTCAAAAATAAGCATTTTTTTACAAAGGGACCTTTCCAGTGGTCAGTGGAAATTCTTCTTCCTGAGTATGCATGAGAGGAGAATAACGGACCCCCAACAATGTCTTTGTCCTCAGAACCTGTGTTGGTGTTAACCTCACATGGCGAAAGGGACTGTGCAGATATAATAAAGTTGAGGACCTTGAGATGGGGGCTTACACTGGATCATATGGGTGGGTCCAGTGTAATCAGGGGATCTTTGCAAGAGGGTAGCAGGAGGGTCAGAACCAGAGAGGAGGAGCCATGGAAGGAAAGGTTGGAGTGATATGAGGAAAGGGCCAGCAGCCAGGAAATGTAGGTGGCCTCTAGGATCCGGAAGGAGCAGGGCAACAGGTTCTTCCCCAAAGCCACCAAAAGTCACGCAGTCCCCCAACACCTTGACTGTGAGACCCATTTTGGACTTCTGACCTCCAGAACTGTAAGGTAATACACTCCTATTGTTGGAAGCCACTAAGTTTATGGTCGTTCATTATAGCAGCGGTGGGGACTTGTACAGCATGTTAATCAGAACTCTTTCAGTTAAAAGGGAAAGCAACCCAAACGGAATTAAAGGTAAATAGGGGTTTATTGGCTCACATAACTAGACGTTCATAGCTACCTTCAGAGATAGCGGAGTTCAGGGGCTCAGACCATGTCATCAGGAGACCCTGAGTTTGCTGCTCTCGACTCTACTTCCCTTCCGAGGGTTGGCCTTCTCCCCCGGTGCAGCCAGCCTTCTTCTGCATCTGGCTTGTTGACATGTCTACCAGCTGTCCCAGGGCTATAGCATCATGACTTATAATCAGCCAGAAAGTGTGAGCCTCTGTCTTCCAGTGACTGTGGGTCAGATCCCACAGGAGGACTCACATTGGCCACATACATACCTCCTGGACCAGTCCCTACAGCCCAGGTCATGATAAACCGTAACTGGCCGGGACTGACCACACACCCCGTTGGGGGAGGGTGGAGCACAGGAACAGCAGCCAAACAAGAATCACACCATTCACAGAGGGGGTGGGGGGGTGGGAAGTGACAGTCCCCCAAAGAAGTAAACAGATAAGGACAGATGCTGGACAGACAGGAACAACAGCTGCTTACTCCCTTAATAGATCCCTAATATGCATATTTATGACATGTTTTAAAGCTGACTACCTTTGGGGCGCCTGGGTGGCTCAGTCAGTTGAGCGTCCAACTTCGGCTCAGGTCATGATCTCACGGTCCGTGGGTTCGAGCCCCGCGTCAGGCTCTGTGCTGACAGCTCAGAGCCTGGAGCCTGTTTCAGATTCTGTGTCTCCCTCTCTCTCTGCCCCTCCCCTGTTCATGCTCTGTTTCTCTCTGTCTGAAAAATAAATAAACATTAAAAAAAATTTTTTTTAAATAATAAAGCTGACTACCTTTAATCATTGGTAACAGAAACTATACCAAGTGGCTAATAGCACAGAAGTCAGGTCTGGGTTCAGATCCTACCCCAGCTGTGTATTAGTTTGGGCAAATTATCAAATTGATCTAACTTTAGCTTTTTCAGCTACAAAATAAACATAATGATAACCACTTCATAGTGTTTAACGAGGAATAAGTGGTATAATGTAAGGCAGTTAATTTGACATGATGCCTTGCACATAGTAAGTACTTAAGGGATATTAATTATCGTCATTACCATCCTCATTATTATAGCAACAACAACCTTTTCCCAGGAGAGTAAACTTGAGGCATGTTGGTGAACATAGTCACTTTACTTGCCTGAAAAAATGAAGATAAAGAGCTCAAGGCCAATGTCCGGCATGGGGACAATAGTTAATAACACTGTATTGTATATTTGAAAGTTGTGAAGAGAGTAGATCTTTTTTTTATTAAAAAAATTTTTTTAATGTTTTATTTATTCTTGAGAGAAGGAGAGGCAGAGCATGAATGAGGGAGGGGCACAGCAAGAGAAGGAGACACAGAATCCGAAGCAGACTCCAGGCCAGGCTGTCAGCACAGAGCCCGATGTGGGGCTCGAACTCATGAGCCGTGATATCATGACCTGAGCCAAAGTCGGACGCTCAACCGACTGAGCCACCCAGGCGCCCCGTGAAGAGAGTAGATCTTAAGTTCTCATCACAAGAAACAAAATTTGTGACTCTGTGTGGTGATGGACAACTACCTTACTGTGGTGAATGTTTTATGACGTATACAACGTTTATTTATTTTTGGGACAGAGAGAGACAGAGCATGAACGGGGGAGGGGCAGAGAGAGAGGGAGACACAGAATCGGAAACAGGCTCCAGGCTCTGAGCCATCAGCCCAGAGCCCGACGCGGGGCTCGAACTCACGGACCGTGAGATTGTGACCTGGCTGAAGTCGGACGCTTAAGAAAAATAATTGGAAATATTGGGATTGGGATTGGCATGTGGCAGGCAGGGACAGGTATGAGGTGTGGGATTGGAAAGGCAAAAAAAATAACAAGAATGTGGAGAGGGGAAAATGTGGAGATTTCCTTTTATGGTTGTTCTAAGTGGTTTCTGATCAAAGGGTCATTAAGGCTTGATTTTAAAGGTTCTGGATTTCTTTTCCCAGAGACCAAACAAGCCAGGGTCAGAGCTGACCTGAGAGAGTGCCCGCCCTGTCATTCTTCACAGCACCCTGGGACAGGGTGGAAACTGCTCCAGCTGGGCCAGGCCTGCAGTCAGCGGTCAGCACGCAGAACCTCTTTGAAGTTCCTTTCATTATTCATTCATTTGAACCTTGATTTTTAGGCAGGTCAACTGGTACCTTTTAGCTATTCTGCATTCTTTGGGTAACTGTATTAGACTGCCCTGCACTGGCTGCCGTAACAAAATAGCACAGGCTGCGTGGCTTAAACAAATTTTTTTTTGTTTAATTTGCACAATTCTGGAAGCTCGGAGTCCCAGATCAAAGTGCTAGCTGATTCTGATCCTGGTAAGAGCTCCTTTCCTGGCTTGCCGAAGGCCACCCTCTTGCTGTGTCTTCACATGGCTGTCCTTAGGTGTGTGCAAGCAGACAGAGGGAGAGACAGAGCTCTCTGGTGTTCCTGTAGTGAAAACACTAATGCTGTCTGATCAGAGTCCCACCCGTGTGACCTCACTTAACCTTAATTACTTCCTTAGAGGCCCCATTTCTAAATACAGCCACACTGGGGGATCAACATATGAATATTTGGGGAACACAAATATTCAGTCCATAGCAGTAACATATGCACCAGCACAGAGTAAAAGTACCTTCTATTTCAAAGCTGGATCATTAGACCTTTGCTCAGACAAATTTGGTTTTCCCATCTTGATTTCACTTCTTTGCCAGCAGGATAGTCATAAATGAAAAAAGAGGCATAGGAGGCAAAAAAAAAAAAAAAAAAAAAAAAAAAAAAAATTAAAGAATATTACCAGCTCTCTCCTGGCCACAGATGGGTATTGAAACCAAGCCCTGCCACACCAAAAACCTGATTCTTGAGCAGAGGAACCTGGCACACCACCCCCCACAACAATCTCTGTGTTAGCACATCCTGCCAGATCCCTGGGACTGCCCTGGTCCCTGTCCTTTACAGCTCTTGTCTGGAAACAAGGGTGCTATAGACTGATGTTATGTGCCCCCCACATTCATATGTTGAAGTCCTAATCCTTGAGGTGATGGTTTAGGAGGTGGGGCCTTTAGAAGGTGATTAGACCATGAGGTTGAAACCCTCATGAATGGGATTAGTGCCCTTATAAAAGAGAGCCTACGGGCATCTGGGTGGCTCAGTCGGTTGAGCATCCGACTCTTGATTTAAGCTCAGGTCATTATCCTAGGGTCTTGGGATCAAGCTCCACATCAGACTTTGTGCTGAGCGTGGAGCCTGCTTAAGATTCTCTCTCTCTTTCCCTCTCTCTGCCCCTCTCCCCAACTTGTGCTTTCTCTCTCTCTAAAAAATAAAAAAAAAAGAATAAAAATTAAAAATTACAAAAAAAAAAAAAAATAGAGTGCAGAGAGCTCCCTTGCCTCTTCTGCCCTGTGACGTTATAACGAGAAGACAGCCATCTATGAACCAGGAAGCCGGCTCTCGCCAGACGCCAAATCTGTCAGTGCCTGGATCTTGGATTTCCCAGCCTCTGGAGGTGAGAGGAATAAATGTTTGTTGTTTATAAGTCACCCAGTCCACAGTATTTTGTTATAGTAGACCAAATGCACTAAGACAGAGAGAGGGTACATGAAAACCGCAGTAGGTGTGTTTGGGAGGTGTGGATTGTTTGAAAGAAATGTCCAGTTTCTGAACTTTCATAAGGATCCAGTACTTGTGGTTAATATACTTTGTCACAATCTTTCTACTTTGCGAGGGAAAGGCATGCTTCTCTCACATCCAGTATCTTAGCAGACATTATTTTCCCTAGGGTATGTACCAAAAGCAGAGACAATTCAAAATATTAGTGGAAGTGTTGAGAAAGTGAATGACTGTAGTCAGTGACATGCTAGTTTTTAGATCCCACGTGGCTTCCGATTTTTGGTTTTAACAAAATTGAAGGAGGATTTAATCAAGCTATCAATTGACAGATCATCACAAATATTTTTTATTTTGATCAACCGCTGTGTGATATTTAGCCTATCATACAGGAGTTCAAAGAACTGAATAATACTGCTGTGATAAAACTCCTTCTAGGATTACCCAATTAAATTTGAATTTTAGATGGAAAACATGTAATTTTTAATAAGTATATCCCATGCAATGTTTGGGATATACTTAACTAGAATAATTATTCGTTGTTTACCTGAAATTTAAAATTCAATTGTGTGTGTGTGGGAGGGGGGGGTGCCTGGGTGGCTCAGTTGGTTAAACATCCAGCTCTTGATTTCAGCTCAGATCATGATCTTGCAGTTTGTGAGATCAAGCCCTGTGTTGGGTTCTGTGCTGATTGCATGGAGCCTGCTTGATATTCTCTCTGCCTCTCTCTCTCTTTTTCCCTCCCCTGCTAGTGCTTTGTCTCTGTCTTGCTCTCTCAAAATAAATAAATAAACATGAAAAAGATTATAAAAAAAAATAACAATTCAATTGAGTATCCTATATGTTTGGGGGACAAAAGGGGTTAAATCTGGCAACCCTATTTTATCCCCATCTATGTGAGTAAGATTTCTCAGTATCAGAACTATAACAATGAAAAATAGAAATAGCACTGATGCTGAAGTCTGCCTCATGTTAGCAGTGATATTCTTTAATGAATACATGAATTAATTATAAAAGCAAATAAAACAGCATCCATCTCATAAGAGAGGCATTCAATAAAATTTTATTTCTGTATTAGGATTTATCAAAATGTATATATTATATTAATCAGTTTTATACTTCTTTTTAAAAAATTTTTTTTAACGTTTATTTATTTTTGAGACAGAGAGAGACAGAGCATGAACGGGGGAGGGTCAGAGAGAGAGGGAGACACAGAATCTGAAACAGGCTCCAGGCTCTGAGCAGTCAGCACAGAGCCCGACGCAGGGCTCAAACCCACATACCGCGAGATCGTGACCTGAGCCGAAGTCAGACGCTTAACCGACTGAGCCACCCAGGTGCCCCAATCAGTTTTATACTTCTAAAATTGATTAATAACTGCAGAATACATTTTTAATACCTTAGAGTTTTATAATCCCAAGATATTTAAAAATTTTAAATATCCGTAAATGTAGTATTTTTATTACAGAGAAGTATAACAGGATGAAATCGAAAAGACTTGCAAATACAAAATTCAGCAGAGTTAGTAGAATGAAAATACGAGTGAAAACATAAGAGGAACACCTGTATGGCTCAGTCAGTTGAGCATCCAACTTCAGCTCACGTCCTGCCTGATCTTGTGGTTTGTGAGTTCGAGCCCTGCATCGGGCTCACTGCTGTCAGCGCAAAGCCTGCTTCAGATCTTCTGTCCTCTTCTCTCTCTGACCCTCCCCTACTCATGTTCTCTCTCTCAAAAATGAATAAAACATTAAAAAAATTTTTTTAAACACAAGAGTAAAAGGGAATGATGTAAAATTTTCAACCACTAAAGAAGAATCTGCTCACATTTTGGGTTGTTTGGGATTTCTTAATGGATGATGATAGATACCAAATTGCTGGGAATTTAGATTCCATCGGATACACTTAAGAGAGTGGTGTAACAGATTTTATTTTTAAAGGCCAGTATTTGCTATATCCTAGAAATCTCATGCCTTGATACTTTAAAACTTATGATGAGTGAGTTTAGACAACCAACCTAAAACTGTAAAGATAGTACATCGCCTTTCAATGTTCCTGTGGGATGTAAGGGTACCAAAAATGTTTTGAGGCCACTGTGTTTTAAGGCCCAAATGCTTGGTTTTCTCTCTTGTTCTGTGAGCTGCTCCCAGGCCTCCCAGTCACTGCTTCTGCCCACTAGGGTCAGGCACAATGGCTCTCCATCACTGATAGAGAGGCAGAAACGCCTCATGAGCCAATGACAAGTTCTTCTTAATTGTTATAATGTGTAAAATGCAATCTTAGTAATGATGTTGCTTCCTTCATCATGTGTGTGTTTGCATGTGTGCATTTCTGTCTCTCCTAACATACACCAAGTATTCTTCCTGGTGCTTGGGATACATAGGGTAGAAAACAAAGGTCCTTGCCCCCGAGGAGGGGGCTGGGAATGCAGTGTGCATGTGCGTGTGTGTGCATGGGTGTGCACATGCGCTGTGTTATGTATGGGGTGGGGAAGTCAGATAGTCTTTAAAAGGCATAATAAATATACACATGCTCTAGTTTGTTAGAAGGTGGTCATTGCTATGGAAAAAAGAAAATGTCAAAGGGAGCCTGGCTGCTCAGTTTGAAGAGCATGTGACTGTTAATCTCAGGGTCATGAATTCATGCCCCATGTTGAGTATAGAGGTTACTTAAAAATTAAAAAAATAAGTAAACTTTAAAAAAGCGTCGAGCAAGATTAGCAAGTTTGGGAGTCTGGGGAAGGACGATGGTTGGGGTGTGATTTTAAATAGATGGTTGAATGTAGTCCTCCTTGAAAAGACAGCATTTGTGTACAGACCAGGAGGTGAGGGTGTGAGCCTGCCAGTGGGGAGAGCATGCCAGGCAGAGGGAACAGCCTGCGCCAAGTCTCCAAGAGGCCTGTGCACAGGGAGCAGAAGGGTACCTGGGTGATGACAGGGACAAGGGATCACGGGCCTTGTTAGTGACAAGGGAGCAGAGGAGTTAGGACTTACTTAGGACTTAGGTTTGAGAAAGATCTCTCAATCTGTATAGCAAATGGACCGGGTGGGGCTGGGGTGGGGGGGCGGGGAGGCCTGTTGGAAAGCTGTCCTCATCCAGGGAGCAGTGAGGGTGGGAAGTGAGAGGGGTCTACCCAAGTGAGACCAGGGCAGTGGCAGAGGAGATCATGTTCCACATCTCTCCCATTTCCTGATGCTTGGGATGTGGGGTGCAAGAGAAAGGAAAGGAAGGGACTAGAATGACTCTAGAGTGATAATATACTAATATTTTTAAAAATATGCCAAAAATGTGCTCCTCTCTGCTACCTTCTTACTAATCTCAGATGTTTGGAGCCACTTTTATAGAGGGCAGCTGTGGAACGTGGAGAATGTACAAGAGGCCTTTTAGGATGATACTTGGGGCCCTACTTGGTTGCATGCTCTCCTCAAGACTTTGAGGAAAGAAACATGAGAAAGAAAGAACTGAACTGGAATGAGTGGGATTTGACAATAGGCCGGATAATCCTCTCACGAGAATATCTCTGCTCAAAATGTACATAAAATGAAGGAAATAATTAATAGCAAAGTGTGTAAAGCCCCATTCATACAATTCTGAACAGGCTTTTTTCCCCATCCTTTTCTTTTCCATGCAGCCAAACAGAGGGCAAGTTCAACTTCGAACCAGATTACAAAGCCGTCTGGTGCTGAAACAGGGAAAACTGCTTCAGGGAAGGAGAGGAGAAAAAAAGGTACTTGGTTCTTGCTTCAACTCTCCTTCCCTCTTCCTTCATCTGTAAATCGCTTCCTCCTTTCCCGGGCTGTGCAGTCCTGCTACTACAGTAATTACCCCAAACGGAAGAACTCACTTGGAGAGAAAGAAGACTCCGTGTCTTGTGGTTTCACGGAGACCAAACACAGAGCAGCTTGGCCTTGTCCACCAGAGGGATTTCTTCGGCACATTCAACAAGCCAGCATCCATTAGGGGGCGTGGGCTCGTTTGGCAGTATCTGCAGTAAACAGCTAGCGGGACCTGGTTGATTCAGCTTGGAGACTTCTCTTCTACCCTCATTGCTTAGCATCAGAAACAGAGTCATTTAGAGGGAATTTTAAGAAATCACCAACTCCGTAACCTCTGAGCAGGACTGAACAAAGTGAGAAGCTCTCCAAGCATTAAAGGTTCAAAGCTCAGCATTAGGGAACATGGGTTCTGTGCCCAGCGCTTGCCCTGGTGCCTGTTATCTCAGCATCCTATTCTGCAAACCAAAGAATTTGTGCTCACAGCTTCCTAAATTCCACTCCAGCTTTAGCATTTTGAGGTTATAAAGACACAGCACAAGGGGCACCTTGGTGGCTCAATTGGTTAAGCATCCAACTTCGGCTCAGGTCATGGTCTCTTGGTGGGTTCGAACCCCACATAGGGCTCTCTGCTGTCAGCACATAATCTGGTTCAGATCTTCTCTCCACCTCTCTCTCTGCCCCTCCCCTGCTCACACATACTCTCTCTCTCAAAAATAAATAGACATTTAAAGTTTTTTTTTTTTTTTAAACGTTTATTTATTATTTTGGGGACAGAGAGAGACAGAGCATGAACGGGGGAGGGGCAGAGAGAGAGGGAGACACAGAATCAGAAACAGGCTCCAGGCTCCGAGCCATCAGCCCAGAGCCCGACGCGGGGCTCGAACTCACGGACCGCAAGATCGTGACCTGGCTGAAGTCGGATGCTTAACCGACTGCGCCACCCAGGTGCCCCTGACATTTAAAAAAGTAAAGATAAGCACAAGATGATCACTAGAGGTGTCATGAGCACAGTCTGGGAAACTCTTTGTGGAGGCTAACCTAAACTCATGTTGTTTTGTGTTAGTCCATTATATATATATATTTTTCATACAATTAGTGTGTGGAAGGTGACAGGCCTTTGTGATGTAACTCGTTGCCCTGTGCCTTTTTCTTTCTCAATTTTAATCTGTTTTTGTGGTCTTTTTCCTATTTTTTAAATTATCCTGTGTCTCCTCTGTGAAATCTGTCTTAATTAGATAAATACAAATTCTTAGGATCTAAAAAGCCAAATGAAAGTGAAAAGTGAGAAAATTTATTAGACCTGTCTCTGTCATCTTGTATAAATACAGTCTTTCCACTGGGTAGTACTAGTATATTTTAGAAAACCTACTAAAAGAAAAAAAAAAAAGAATAATAATAAGAGCCATTCTAGGTTATCACTTGTTTTAGACATTGATTTACCATTTGGGGATATTTTCAATCAAAGATCCTTTCGGAGGAGTTGATTTTGGGGCATTCCTTTTGGGATGAGGATGATCATTGGTCTCCAAGGCAGGTGGCCCTACAGAGGACAGTCCTTACACGGGGCCAGATGACATCTGAAGGCAGAGGACTGCTGGGTCACTAGTTCTAACTCTCCATATAGACCTAGCAGAAAGTGGTAATGAGGACAAAGACTGAATCTGTGTATCACGCTGTGCAGTTAACTTGACATTGCACCCAGACCCAAAGGTCAAAATCTGTATGGGAACTTCAAGACTTCTCAAGGCTGGAGAGAGGTTCTGACCACTTCTATTTGTTGAGACTTCCTGATTAAAAAAAAAAAAATTTTTTTTAAGCAAAGAAGGTTAAAAAATTTCATAATACTTAAAGTCTTTATGTTTAACAAGCTAGCTCTTCTAATACATATAAAAACATAGAGAATGCATGCATAACCTCAATAGGCAATGACAGCAGAGTCTGAATGTAAGGCCTTCGTGAATGACACCTCCTGTGTGCCACCACCCCGACCCAAGCCCCCCAACCCCCCACCCTAATGTAGGCCTGGAAATGTGTAACCCTCAAGAAGGTAGATAGTTTGAGAGAAAGGTCAAAAAGAGAGCAATACAACTGTTCATCCTCCAGCTTTTAAATAATAGCTTTGTTGAGGCCCATTTCACAATAATACCTTTCAGCTGCTAAAACCTGGCACAAAAATATCAGGCTTGCCTCTTTTGACCTTAAACAACAGAAATATATTGTCTCACAGTTCTGGAGCCTGGAAGTTAAGATCAAGATGTCGGCAGGGCTGGTTCCTTCTAGATGTTCTGAGGGGGAATCTGTTCCATGCCTGTCTCCTAGCTACTGGTGGTTTGTTGGCAATCTAGTATTCCTTGGCTTATAGATGCATCACCCCGACCTTGGCCTTCATGTTCCCCACACATTCTCCCTGTGTGCGTCTGTGTCCAAGATTTCCTTTTTATAAGGACATCAGTCATACTGGATTAGGGGCCAACTCTACTCCAGTCTGACCTCATCTTAACTAATTACATCTGCCACAACCTTACATCCAAAAAAGATCACATTTTGAGGAGCTGGGACTTAGAACTTTAACATAGGAATTTGGGGAGGGAACACAACTCAGTTCATAATGGGGGGGGGTTCAGAATGTAGTTTATAAACAGGATACACATCTAGAAAAACAAATAGCCACACAAGGCAGCATCTTTCAGGGGCCAAACATGGACACTGGGTTTAGAGAACCCAGTGAACCCAGAGAACCCAGGGATGGACACTGGGTTCAGAGAAGGGCATTATTCCCCAGGGGTGAAACTGAGGAGAAGTTAGAAGTTGACATGTGGAAAGAAAGGACTTACAGGAAGAAGGATTTGAGAGAGGAGAGAGGGTTAACGGTGCAAGCCTGAAAGCCTACAAGTTTAGCTGGAACAAGAGGATGTGGGTGGGTGGACCTGTCAAAAACACTAGGTCTCATTAAGGAAGACTTTGCATGTCAGGCCCAGTGTTGGGACTTGATCCAGTAGACAGTGGGAGCCATTAAAGTCTTTTGGCTCTCAAGGGATTCTGTGCCTCAAATGAATAGAAAAAAAAAAAAAATCCTGTGTTTAATTCATATTTATTTTATAGCTTCTTGTCAGAGCAGACCATTTTCCAGAGTTCACAAAGCAAGTGAAAAAATAGCTTCCCACATTGGATAATTACTTTCAGTCATAAGGTATTTGGTTGGGGGTGAGTTTTGTCTTTGGTAGAAGAGTTCTACCTGCATCAAAATAAAGAGTCAGATGGAGCTGATTTATATTAACCTCTTAAGGGTGGAGTCCAGATGGTTTCCATTTGGTCCCAATTGGAAACAGCCAAACTATTTGTATGCTTGCCCCTTTGTGGACAGGAGGCTTTGGCCTGTTGCTTGGAAAGTTGAACTCACAATACTGTATGAATCAAAACCTCCATTCAGAAGCCTGACACCCTTTATTATTCCTCCTGAAATGTGTAATTACAAGAACCTGACAATTTTACATTTAGCAGCCAGTTGTAGGTTGATAGAAGAGGAAAAGTATTCTGTTTCTGTGCCTGCAGAATTTAGACATTTGTTCATCTAAGCCAGTCCTGCTTCAAAGCAGCACTGAACATGAAGATTCATTAGATCAGTGGTTCTCAAGCTCAAGCAGCATCAGAGGCACCCAGTAGGCTCATTAAAACACAGATTGTGGGGCCCTGCCCCACAAAGCACCGAATCTGTAGGCAGAGGTAAGGCTGGAGAGCTTACATTTCTATCAAGTTCCCAAGTGTTGCTGATGCTGTCAGCCCACTTTGAGATCCACTGCTTTAGAATTAAAAGAAAATCGGATCACCTTCTCTTGATTTATTTTGCTCAGTGAGGCAGAGTGAGACTTCTAGATGCCTCTTCTCTGCCTTGGACACCACAGAACAAACAGGGCCCAGGCTTGTTTCTGCTCCAGCTTCTCTGTCTCTTCCAGACCCAGTCTGGCCTATGTCTGAGCCCCCTGGCTCTGTACCAGGGGTCTGTGGGAATTGGGAACCCTGGGTCTGAAGGGTGATTAACACTCAAGTGAGTGATAATCTGTTCTGGCCTATGCCTAATCACAAGCCTGTCAGGTCCATAAAGAGCCAGAATATGGCAAAAGATGGGAGGTCACCGAATGGTCATCAAAAATAGTCTTCTGCAGATAAGATAGCGTCCCTGAGCCCCATTCAGCAGGTCCTGCCATGTCACCTCAAGGCCCCAAAAGTTGCTAAAAGACTCAGCAAGGACTCAGGCGTGCCCTGTCACCTGGGCCTGCTCTGTTTCCTAGCCCAAACTCCACACTGTAGTTTCTAGGTGTCTTAATTGTCAAGGATTTAGGACTAGGAGGGCCAGTACATGACTTAGACATGTACTGAGAGCAAAATCCAACCATAAAATGGTCAGTCTACAAGCTTGAGATTGATCAGACCTTTGCTACAGTACCAATGCCACCCAAGTGCCAAATTCACTTCCCCAAAGAAGGCATTGTTTATAACATAGCCGTGGTCCATAGGAATACTTTGGCATTGAGGAATGCAAGCATCAAGTTTAAAAGACAAGATGTAATCTTTAAAACAGTTTTATTGGTTCCAGATCCAGAAGTTACTGATTAATATCCTGAAATTATTTTACTTGGGATTTTATCCTGGAGTGATAGTCAAACAATGGAAACCTTTGTGGACATGTTCCAAGGTCCAAGGTATGAATCACCCAACACTAATTACACTTTGCCTCCTTAAGTCCTGCAGTCAGTGTTCTGGTTTATAAATCTGTGGTAATTACATAGGAAATCACACATATTCCTTGTTGATGGAAGGAAACTATTTTGAGCAAGTTTTGTTTGTTTGTTTGTTTTTTTTAATCAGCCTTATTAAGAAGAAGGTCCTGCTCAGACCTGGCATCTTTAGATGAACATTTGAGTAGTTCTTAAGCCAAATAGAATGTGTGATGTCCAAGAGAATATGCAATGCGCAGCTGTCCTGGTGATCCCAGGAGACACCAGAGAGTGAGGGGAAAAAATGAGGAACCTCTCTGGAGGAACTTCTGGTTCCATGAAAATTTTTTACACTTGACCTTTGAGTACTGGCCCACATAGGAAATAGAGTTCTTTCCAGAAAGACTGAAAAGAGGTTTATCAACTGGGAAAGAGAGGGCATTCTAGGCAAAGGGAACCACATGAGAAAAGGCTCAGGGGGTGAAAGTGCACAGAGTGTTCAGTGTATGGGAAGTGTGATCTTCACTGTATAGTGGTCACTGAGAGAGTGGCTGGAGGTGTAGCTGAAAAGGCCAGAGGACCCATGTGGCCAAAAAGCCATGAATGCAGTTGAGTTGGGGTTTCTGCTGTGTGCAAAGTTAGAGCATGATTCCTCTGAAGCAAGGCAGTGACATGATGAGAATTGGATTTTTGAAAAGAACGTTGGGCAGCATTGCAGCATGTGTTTTGGAAAAAGGGACATCCGGGTGAAGGGAGACAGACCAGTTTGGAGGCTATCACGATAGTTCAGACATGAGGAGCAAAAGTGCAGAGTGCAGTGATAGAAAGATGGTCCAGGTATATTTAGGAGGGAAATCTGAAAGGACCAGATAGCCAGTTCAATGAGGGTGAAAGATTCTGCAGTCAGGGACAGTTGGGGGATCTTGGCAATTAACCACAGAGAAAATGGGATGAAGCACAAGGTTGGGTGAGTCCAGACGGATCTGTGGAGAGGCTTCCAGAGGAGGTGTGCAATTATAAGAAGTATGTATCTGATCCTCAGGGAGACGGTGGCAGAAGGGGAGATACCTTCCACAAGGAGGTTTTCCAGCAGGGCCGCTCTCATTCCAGTGTTTCAATGACTTATAGTTTCCAGAAATGAAACTGAGAAGACAAGCAGTAACATTTGTTGTGTACTAAGTACCTCTACAACCATTACTTCACCATGCTTCCCAGTCGATCCTCCCAGTGCATCTAGGAAGTGAGTATTATCTCTGTTAGGGCAGCGAGGAAACTTGGGTTCAGAGAAGGTAAGTGGCTTTCTGGGGAGTCCCACAGAGTTTTTTAGAGAGAGGTTTTAAACCCAGGGATTCTGCTTTCTCTACACCCTCCTGCCTCTTAGTCACAATTGGCATTGCTGTACCGCCACTAAGTTCTCGGAGACAGAGGAGTGTAAATTAAAATAGTCATTGTCTGTGAACTTGTTTTTGTTTTAAAGAAATGTTAAGATTAGGGGAAAATAGGTTGGGATGAATACAGCTGGGGTGGATCAAGTATTACCAGGGGCTGAGTATGTACTCACCTTTCTTTGCTCTGAGGAATTTGTTTACTATTCAGAGAAAAGTATTTGGTTCTGCTTGAATTTTGGATAAAGGCCCAAAGGAGGAAATCCCTGTGCTAAGCAACATCAGCCTTCCTACCCTCTGACAGGGCACTGTGACTCCCTAAATTCTGCAGAATGGTTTGGACCAGCACTTTCCAAATTGGTTATTTTTCATGAGCAGAGATGACATTGCGACCTTGCTTTCCACCAGTTGGAGGGGAATTTGGATTGCTTTTCCCCTAGGGATGCACGTTGTACCAGGCCAGTCACAGACCCGGAAGCCCCCTTCCTCTCCAATTGCATACATTTGTGCCGTGCTGGCTAAGTCGGTGGGGTGGCAGGGGTAGACTCGCAAAAACTGTTTCTTTCCTTGTAGTGCTCTAGTGCTCAGCAACTGCACAGGAATTTGGCCTTTGGCCTTAGCTCCACTGGCCTCATGTTTCATCACCACTGCTTTCTGGCAAAAAGGGGACAATAAGAAACGAGTGCCACATGTGATCAGTATCCACATCATTAATTATTCTGAGCAGTAAACTTAACTTTTCAAAGGCACTATGTTTGTGAAGAGATTTTATAAATAGAAAAGTCATATCCTATTCGTGTTCATAAATGGTCTCAAGGCATTATTAGCTCCCTTGTACTTGGAAAAACAATAAACAGTGAGATAAAAGTTTCCACAGTATGATTACACTCTATACTGTATTATTCATTGATTCATTCATTTGTTCAATGGTTATTAAACACCCACAGTGTGTCAGATACCATCCTAATATATTAGCACTGTTAAATTATTTATAGCAGCTGTCATTTGCCATCATTCCCATGCCCTGGATGTAAGAACAAATACATTTGGACAAGTTAGGCTTACCCCCAATGAAACTAAATGATGGGCTAGTTTTCATCCCCCCAACTGTGTTTTGAAGGAAAATAACAAGAAGTCCAGCTATATCACCTTTCCCTGAAAGGAAAATAACAAAAAGTCCAGCTATATCACCTTGCCCTAAAAAGTCATTCTCTTTCATGAATTGAAAACTTATACTTGGTTATCAGTGACTCTTCTCTCTTCCTTGTTCTTCCTACACACTAGATAGCGATCACTTCATGTCAGCTTCAGATGGCAGGGAGTTTGTCTCTTCTGTTCCCTGTTGGATTCCCAGCACCTAGGACAGTGCCTGACATCTGGTAGAGCTCAAAAATATCTGTTGAAGGGGCGCCTGGGATGGGCATCTGACTTTGGCTCAGGTCATGATCTCACAGTCCTTGAGTTTGATCCCCACATCGGGCTCTGTGATGACAGTACAGAGCCTGCTTAGGATTCTCTCTCTCTCTCTCTCTCTCTCCCCCTCTCTCTACCCTTCCCCCCTTGCTCTCTTTCTCTTTCTCTCTCTCAAAATAAATAAATAAAATTTTAAACAAAGAACATACTCTTTTAAAAAAATGTGTTGAAAAAATGTCTTCTGAAGACAGAAGAGTCCTGTCTAGCCCTTGGGATTAGGTTCTCAAGTCAGCATATTAGGCAAAATCAGTGTATAGCTAAATGATTCTTTACAATCCTTTAAACTGTACCCCAGTGTTTATAGCAGCACTTTCAACAATAGCCAAATTATGGAAAGAGCCTAAATGTCCGTCAACTGATGAATGGATAATGAAATTGTGGTTTATATACACAATGGAATACTACGTGGCAATGAGAAAGAATGAAATATGGCCTTTTGTAGCAGCGTGGATGGAACTGGAGAGTGTTGTGCTAAGTGAAGTCATACAGAGAAAGACAGATACCATATGTTTTCACTCTTACGTGGATCCTGAGAAACTTAACAGAAGACCATGGGGGAGGGGAAGGAAAAAAAATTATAGAGGGAGAGAGCCAAACCATAAGAGATTCTTAAAAACTGAGAATAACTGAGGGTTGATGGGGGGTGGGAGGGAGGGGAAGGTGGGTGATGGGTATTGAGGAGGGAACCTGTTGGGATGAGCACTGGGTGTTGTATAGAAACCAATTTGACAATAAATTTCATGTTAAAAAATAAACTGCCCACACAATAAATGTATAGAGGTATATTATTTCCAAGTCCCATGCAGTTTCTTGCCAACTTTGGAACAGGTCATTGTTTGTTAGCTAAGCCCCAGATGAAGTAGTTGGCTAGTGTTTAGGGGGTTATATTGTACACAAAGCATATAATTTCAAACACTTGGAGGCAATCTGGCTTTGGGACCAGAGACTCAGATTTCCCATCTCACACTTACTGAGTGAATTAGCTGGCATGTCCATGGCTATTTATTCTTCTCCATCCTCTTCCTGTCTTTCTCTTTGCCAAACTCCTAAACTTGAATGGGTATAAATTAAATGTGTACATGATGCCATTCCATAGCACTGAGTGACACTGAACTTCATAAAAGCTGAATGGACCAATGGGGGTAAATTAGATTCCAGGACCACTGACCTCAGTCATGAAGTCTACAAAGACAAGATGGTTCTTTCTACTTCACATTTGTCCTCCTAGAGTTCAAAAAATGTGACAACTTTGCAGATTCTGAATCCCTGGGTAAGGACTATCACTTCCCTAGGATCAGTGAACAGCCTGCTTATCTTCTACTAGGAAATTTCTAGAAACATTGATTTTCCTCTTTAGCCAAAGTAAAGGCAACAATTTAAATCTTAAGTGAGATTTCCTTTCATACAGAGCAATTTGGGGCTTGCTATTATAAAGAATAAAGGATGTACTGGGTACTTTTTTAAAGGATTTTTAAATTACATCTATTTCCTTGACTATATTCCAAAATAAATCTACTCACACAAGTCAAATAAGTATAATCTTAAAAATAAAATCAACTTATCTGGTGGTAAGTGGGGGAGCTATTATCTAAAAATAACAAAATACTATTATTTTCTTACAGGAATCAAAAAAATTAAAGATTCGGCTGGTCCTTGGTTAGTGAAATTGTATTTGGCAGATAATGGCATAGATGGAAAAGGAAAAGAAGGAGAAAATGGCTTGTTGGAATTCACTCAAATTTTGACATGGTGAGTAGAAAATTAAGAGGTTTTATTTGTTCACCTTCTAAAACTCGGTGCTTTAGTTAGATTGTAGGGACAACAATTTAATTGCAGTTTATTAATAGTGCTAAGTGAGGGTTTTTAGCTCTGAGAGGAAAGCAGGGACCCACCTTGGTCTTGGTTTGTGATCTTAAGGAAAATCCTGAAATCATAAAAATGGCAGACAGTTGTATGTGAGCCCACAAAGTGGTCCCAAAGACCTCACTAGAAGCCCCATTTTATGAAGTTGGCAACAGAGGAAAGGCAGGAGTTATGACCTCTAGATTTTTTTCCCCTAAAGTCAGCTATGTGACCTGAGGAAGAAAGGCAGACTACTCAAGTGTGAGCACTTTTTTGTTTTTGATTACAAAGTTGTCCCAAACTACTTAGGCAGAAAGAGCATTTCTCAAAAGCTCCTGGAAAACAGAATATTTTCTTGCCATGTTTATGCTGACAACCTTGGACATCTCTCTGTCCAGCTCTCCTGAATCCAAATACCCAGTGGGCCAAGCCACAAGTCAGCATTTGCAGCACAATAGGAAAGATTGCCCAGTAGAAGACTCCAGGTTATACCATGTCAGGATATTAGTACTTATAGCAACTTAGGGTAATCAAGGGCAACAGAACATGCCAAGGTTGGAAACTTGAGGTCTTGATTGATGGCTATTATTTTACCAGAAAAAGATTCTTTTTTTTTTTTTTTTTTAATGTTTATTTATTTTTGAGAGAGAGATAGAGCACAAATGGGGGAGGGGCAGAGAGAGAGGGAGACATAGAATCTGAAGCAGGCTCCGGGCTCCGAGCTGTCAGCACAGAGCCCGACATGGGGCTCGAACTCACGAGCTGTGAGATCATGTCCTGAGCAGAAGCTGGACTCCCAACTGATTGAGCCTCCCAGGCGCTCCTAGAGATTCTTTTTCTAATATGCTTTACTTCTTTATTTAGGAAAGTTAGGAATTTCCAACTTGGATAATTTTGCTGATATTTTTATAATAATTATATTGATAAACTTCATTTTATTACCCTTTTAATATATTGTTAGATTTACTGTATTGCTGATGGTTTATCCTTTTGTATATTGCTAACATTTTGGTAAGAGTTTCCACATCAGGGTTCACGAGGACTATTGGTCTCTACTTTTCCTTTCTTGTAATGTTTTCCTCTGGTTTGGGATCAAGGTGATTTTGGCCTTACAGAATGAGTTAGGAAGTGTTCCCTCCTTTTCTATTTTATGAAAGAATTTGTGTAGAATCAGCATTATTTTATCTTTAAATATTTGATGAAATTCACCAGTGAAGACATCTGGACCTGGAGTTTTCTTTATGAGAAGATTTTAACTACAAATTCAATTTCTTTAGTAGATAGAAGGCTGTTCTGGTTATTTGGGGAGAAAGGTGTTAAGCTTCGGTAGTTTATGTCTTTCAAGCAATTTGTTCACTTTGGCTAAGTTTTCAAATTTATTGCCTTAAAGTTATTCATAATATTTCCTTCTCATCCTTTTCCTATCTGGAGGATCTGCAGTGATGTATCCTCTTTTGTGCCTGACATTGATAATTTGTTTTCTTTTTCCCCCCCAATAAATGTGATTAGAATTTTATCTATTTTATTTACCTTTTCAAAGAACTCACTTTTGGTTTCCTCTAATGTTTTAGTTTTTTTCAATTTCATTGCATTATATTCTTATTTTTATTATTTCCTTTATTCTGTTTACCTTGGCTTTAATATGTGCTTTTCTTTCTAATTTATTAAAGCAGAAGCTTAAGTTACTGATTTTAAACTCTTTGGTTTTCTAATGTAAATGGTTATATTAATACCAAGGACTTTTTAATTGTATCCTGCAAATTTTGATACGTATTTTTATTGTCATTCAATTCAAACTATTTTCTAATTTTCCTTTTGATTTCTTTGACCTGTCAGCCTAGTTTCCACATATTTGTAAATGTTTCAAATATTTTTCTCTGGTTGATTTCTTATTAAATTCTGCTGTGATTGGAGAACATACTTGCTTTATGGCCCAGATTATGATCTGTCTTGGTAAATGTTCCATGTTTACTTGAAAAGAATGTGTATTCTGCTGTTTTTGGATGGAATGTGAATAAATGTCAATGAAGTTTAGTTGGTTGGCAGCATTGTTACAGTTTTCTGTATCTTTACAAATTTTCTGTTTACTTGTTCTATCAGTTGTTGAGAGGAGAATTGTGACTTTGTTCATACCTCTTTGCAGTTTAATCAGTTTTGTTTCATATATTTTTAAGATCTTTTGTTGGGTGCAAAATATTTAAGATTAAGTCACTTGAAGAATTGGCCCATATTATCATTATGGAGTCCCTAGTAATATTTTTCTCTTGTCTCTGATAATATTCCCTTTTCTGAAATCTACTTTGATGAATATTAATATAGTCACTTCAGCTTTCTTTGGATTAATGTTAATATGATATACCTCTCTCTGTCCTCTTACTTTTAACCTATCTGTTTTTATCGTAATTTCTCTGTAACTCCGTTTCCTCTTTTGTAAAAATGGGGATAATAATAGTGTCTAACTCAAGAGATTCTTATAGGGTTAAATTAGATCACGAAAGGTGCTAAATATAGTGCCTAGGGCTCCAGCAAGTACCATTATACAAATTAGAAAAAGAGCCTCTCTGGGCAGATGAGTTAAAAAACGTACCACCTCTGGCCAATGAGTGGGAGGAGGTTAACCTTTCTAGGTCTATGCTCCAGGGCCCAGGACTTGACCAGCAAAGCTTGGCAGATTTCAGCTCCACTCCTACCCTTGGAAGGCCCATTTGTGCTGGGCGCAAGTGCTTAAGCATGTGGGTGGCCCTCATCACATCTGATGTATAAAGAACCGTAATTCATGCGAGGCTGAATAACATAGTGATTAAATCCTTGGCCTCTGGAATCAGAGTTAGATGTAAAATTGTCGACTTGTGAAGTTTGTCTTCAACATTCTTCATTCTCTTCCTGCTTCCTTCTGAAGCATCCCTGTTCTCACCCATCTTACCTGAAGGAATTGGATATAGGCAGGCAGTTCAGGAAGCCAAAGCCAGGCAAGTCCTGATTAGACAGGCTATTTTGGAGAGCAAGACCTTTGAGAGGGAGAGTCTGGTGGAACCACTCAGCCCCACCCTTGAATTCTGGCTGCTGAATCAATAGAAAATGTGTACAGGGAGCAAGAGAATGACCTTATATTCACTACTGATCCTAACTAAAATTTTATATCCTCAGTGTGTGGTAAGGACTCAAAATTGTTTTATTGGAAGTCAGATGATAATTTCTTTCAGAGCAGAGGCCATGAGTTAAATTCCTTTAATCCCTGCAATGTTAGACATATATGCATTTAATAAGCCAGCACTCAGTATGATAGCATCATTGATACTGCATTTTGCAAGATACTTTCACAGGAACTGCTTCATTCTGTTTTCACCACAACCTTATGAAATAGGCAGAACAGCCAATTTGGAGGCCAGTTTTACAGATGAGAAAGGTGAGAGAGGACACATGACCTGCCCATGACTACATGGTTGACAGGAGGTATAAGCTAACCAGGAACCCAGGCCTTCACCCAGATTTCACGTCCACTCATCATGCCAGAGATTCCCAAAGACCAGTTGTCAGGCCAGTGCTAGGGCATGAAGGAATTTTCAATAATCCTCAAAGAGATTAGAAAAAAAGAAAAAAAAAAGATGGTGTGTTCATTTTTCATAAAGCTAAACTTAATTTTAAACGCAATCCTTTATTTTGAGACTATGCCCTTCCTAATTTCATGTAAAAATATTTGTTCTTTTATTTATTGACAAGGTGAGAATTGCTATTTATTTGACATACTAAAAGTTGCCAAACCATTCCTTCCCAAGTTTTTGACATTTTACCGGTGTGCAAAATCTAAAAGACTGGGAAATCCTGCACAACCCCCACATCTTATGAATAAATAAATGAATGGGATATTGAAGGCAACTAAGTATTTATCCTACCAACTTGCTGAAGGGGGCCATCCAATCTAGAGAGATTAAAATGGAAAAGCCTGAACTCAGGATATCTTCAGTTTTCAAATTGGGTCAGTGCATCATCTTTGGAAGTGGGGTCAAGGAGAATATTGAGGACCTAAGAAGAAAGATCATACTCCAAAATAAGTGGATTGAGTTTCTTTGAGTAACATTGCCATTTTGATTTGTCATTTTCTTTGTCCAGTCTGATCAAATACTCTGCTCACTTAAGGGAAATTGACCTTGGAAACAATGTCCTGGGAGAAATGGCTGCTACTGACATACTTGAAGCATTAAGAGCCAGAAAGACAGGTAGAGTGTTTTCAGTTTGTGTTCCCCTCCACTTGTCCACATCCATTCACTCCTAAATGCTATTCTACTCACAGCTTGCTCTACTTTTTTCATTAAATAACTGGTCTGAGCTAAGTGATAACCAAGAGCACTATCATAAACCGCCTACCCTTGTACCAATTTGCCCAGTGATTTGCACAGAGTTCAAGAACTTCTAGGATGTCATATGTCATCTTTGACCTAAGTACAGTAGTCTCCCCTTATGCGTGGGGGACATGTTCTAAGATCCCCAGTGGATGCCTGAAACTGCAGATAGGATCAAACCCTGTATGTACTAGGTTTTTTCCTATGAATACATACCTATGACAGTTTAATTTATAAATTAAGCACAGAAAGAGATTAACAATAATAACTAATAGTAAAATAGAATGCTTATGATAGTATATTGTAATTAAAGCTATGTGGGGGTGCCTCGGTGGCTTAGTCGGTTGAGCGTCCAACTCTTGATTTTGTCTGAGGTCATGATCCCAGAGTCATGGGATTGAGGCGTTGGACTTCATGCTGAGTGTGGAGACTGCTTAAGATTCTCTCTCTTGGGGCGCCTGGGTGGCTCAGTCAGTTAAGTGTCCGACTTCAGCTCAGGTCATGATCTCAGAGTTTATGGGTTTGAGCCCTACATCAGACTCTGTGCGAACAGCTCAGAGCCTGGAGCCTGCTTCAGATTCTGTGACTCCCTTTCTCTGTCTGTCTCTGCCCCTCCCCTGCTTGTGCTCTCTCTCTCTCAAAAAATAAATAAACTTAAAAAAAAAAAAAAAGATTCTCTCTCCCCCACTTCCTCTCTCTCCCGCTCATGCTCTATAAATAAATAAATACATACTATGTGAAAATGGCTTGCCTCTCTCTCAAAATATCTTACTGTACTGGAGTCACCCTTGTAATGATGTGAAATAACAAAGCCTATGTGAGGAGGTGAAGTGAGGAGAATGACAGGCATTAAGCTCCTACTGACCTTCTGATGACTCCTCAGAAGGAAACCCATCTGCTTCCTGACCGCCGATGACTGAAACTGTGGAAAGAGAAAGCCCAGATAAGGGGGATGGGGCTACTGTAACGATTGTCATTAGAGGGAAATTTTCTCAGTTGCTCTTTCTTTTCCCTCTCTTCTCTGAGTCTCACTTATTCTCTGAGGGACTCTGTCCTATTCTCTAGTCTCCTTCCCAACCCACCTGCAGATATTCCTCCAGATAGCAATTGGAAAACTCAGGTGACATCTCTCATAAGATTCTGATGTGCTTTCTGGACCATCAAAGATGGCATCGGGAGAGCAGTAAGGGTGGTTTATGACCATGTAATCCTTTGAAAATGAGAGACTCACATATGGAATGAGTTATTTATTACACATTGGCCAACGCTGCCCTCTTCCTTTCATTAATATGCATGACCAGAATTAACGATAGCCATACTTACAGCTGACAGAGGGATGAAGTACGCCATTTTAAATAAAGCTCAATGAAAGACATATAAACAGATTTGAACATCCAAATTCAGTGTTTAAAAGGGGGAAAGAGATGTACATGGGTGGCTCAGTCAGTTGAGTGTCCAACTCTTGATTTGGCTCAGGTCATGATCCCGGGGTCTTTTGATGGAGCCCCGTGTAAGGCTCCACTCAGAGCCTGCTTAATATTCTCTCTTTCTCTCCCTCTCTCTCTCTCTCTTAAATAAAAATTTTTAAAAAGGGTGGGGGAGAGATCTTGGTGCGTTATCTGGCAGGTTATGTGGAGAGAATTAAGTAGTAGAAGTATTGGTCTTTGTCATCTCTTCAATACAATGATCTTAGAGACATGGCATAGTTTTAGGTTGCATTTTTTTTTTTAACAGTGGCAGTTTTACAAAAGAATTACACTATTACTTCACCAATAATGAAGTAATCACCACTTTAAAACTAAAACCACCGGGGTGCCTGAGTGGCTCAGTAGATTAAGTGTCTGACTTTGGCTCAGGTCATGATCTCACAATTCATGAGTTTGAGGCCCCGCGTCAGGCTCTGTGCTGACAGCTTAGAGCCTGGAGCCTGCTTCGGATTCTGTGTGTGTCTCTCTCTCTCTCTCTCTCTCTCTCTCTCTCTCTCTCTCTGCCCCTCCCCTGCTCACACTCTCTGTCTCTCTCTCAAAAATAAAAATAAAAGATTAAAACTACTGCATTGCCATTTCTTCACAAGCCAATCGAATGATTCCAAGATTTTTAAATTATCCCTTTATTTTGGAGAAACAAAACATGTTCCTAGTCCATTTGAATTGAATTCAAATTCAATGGAATTATTAAAAATAATTTAAATTTAACTTTAATCTGAGCTTAATAAACTGAAAGCAGGTTAATGATTTCATTTGGTTTTCCTTAGTATGGGAGTAACTTACTATACCCTGTGGCAAAAGATATTATAAAATACCACAGGCAGTGTTCTGATCTTTACTGTAGTTAAGTGCTAATGATGGGCAGTCTCAGATGATTTGACGGAAAATGATTCTCATTGAGTACTTATTTGGAACTGCAAAACATTGTGCTTGCTTAGTAAATAGTTCAATTTGCATAAGTAGGGAAGATAATTATGAAATACCCACCTGAAAATACAGATTCTCATTTAAAAAGCATTTAAAAACAACTTATAGTTCAAGGAAGTATTAATTTCCCAAATATAGTAGTATATATCATGATAGCTTTAATACATCCACATTTTGAACCAAAATAATTATGACTTGTTTCCATGGAACACCTCAGGTTGTTAGAAAGACTCCTCAAAACAGGGTTAGCTGGTTGGATTCTACAGGGAAATCTCTTGCCATTTAGCCTTAATGGTATCCTTTTAAACATTGAAAGCAATGAGTGATATCACTGATTATAGAACTAATGTTCTTCTTTTGATTGCTTTTGTGTTCTTATCATTTGCAAGTTAACAAGCTAATTTCTAATTCTACTTCTTTCATGAAATCCAAATTAATAGCCTAAAGTAATTTATTTGCCTACCAAGGAATTCTTATTGAACTACCTTTAATGATGGAACACACACAATGAAAGCTTCCTCAGAAACATCAGCAACCTCACTTGTTACAAAAAAAAAAAAAAAAAAAAAAAAAGGTTAGCAGAGGGTTGAACTGTCTACATCTTACAGGGTTGCTTTTTGACTAATTAAAAAAAAAACAGAATACTTGAGGATAGTTTCACTTATTCATTCTTACTGATTTATTTATTTATTTCAACATGAATTTATTAATGCTGTAGAGCAAGGCCAAAGGGCCCACGGCGACCACTGAGCTGAATGCAAACAGGCTCACGAAGCAACCCACCTCTAAATAACCATAGGCCCTAACTAACCAATTACCAGTGGGCACAGTTCCTAAAATTATCAAAAAGGGAAAATTCCATACATTTACTACCTCCTCACTGTGCCCTGTAACTGTGGCTCCTCACCCGTGCTTCATTACAGTGTCTCCTTTGCTGTCTTGCCCACTGCTTCCTTACAATGTATTCAGTAAACTTTTATCTCTTTTGTTCTGCCTTGGGTGAACTCTTTTATCGCCTGTGCCCCTGGCCTCCACCCAATCGGAGTGCCCCACATTTGATGGCTACCCCATCTGATCGGGACAACACACAAATGCCAGGCCTTGTTTGAGTTAAGCAGTGAATTCCTGCTTTCATGGATCTTACTTCCTAGTGAATGACAGTAAACCAACTATAAAAAGAAGTAAAATACACATTATTGTATATCAGATATCAGATGGGGATCATACTTAAGGGAAAAATAAAGCAAGAAAAGGAGATAAAGCATGTATGTCAGGCGTTGGGAGTTTTAGTTAGGATAGCCAGAGAAGGCTGTACGAAGAAGAAACATTTGAGTGAAGGCCAGAAGGTGTGAGGGAGCAAGCCATGTATATCTGGGGAACGAGAATTCCAGGTAAGCCGAACAGCGAGTGCAAAGGCTTAGGGCAGGAGGCTACCTGGTGTGTTCTAAAACCAGTATGGAAGCCAACATGGCTGGAGTGGAGTGAGAGGTAATGGGAGAGTCATAGGACAAAAAAAAATTCCAAGAAGTAAGCATGGAGGGCAAGGGGCCTTCTAGGCAATTATGATTACTTTAGTTTTTAATTCTATTGAGAATGGGAAGGCATTTGAGAATTTTGAGAGGAGTGACCTGATCTGACCCACATCTCAGCAGGATTACTCTAGCTCTATGTTGAAAATACATTGGAGGAGAGGTGAAGACAGAAGAAGGAAGACCAGTTAGGGAATTTTCCCTAGAAAAATTAAACAGCCTTTCAGCAGACCCAGCACACCCAGCATGGCAGAGAATGAGAGTGAAGTAAGAAGCTGAAAAGAGGAGGATTAGGGAAAATTCTACACACTCAACACTTGGGACACAGCCTTTACCATTACTGCAGCCTTCTTTGTCTGCCCTGCTTCCGGAGGCCAAAAGCCATGTAGAAGACTGGGGTATTCTTTGAAAACTGGATAGGCCCAGAGAAAGGAAAAACAGGTGCTGACACCTGGCCATGCCCTCATCATTCAAAGAAGCCCAGCAGGTAAGCAAGCCCTGCTCCTACAGAGGAGCTTCCCATGAGCCTTTGGATGCCTCATGCTTCACTGTGAACAGAAATCCAAACATCTCCAGATACCTGAGGCAATAGTTTGATATAGGAAACCAAGCCTGAGAGAAAAAAGGTAACTCTGAAGATAAAGAGACAATACAGAAAATTAAGAAATTAGTTATGACTCCTCCCAGTGAAACAGAAGATAATGCATCTGTGAAACAAGAACAGGATGCTATGAAAAAAGAATAATCAGAAAATAAGAAAAAGTTCTTGGCAAGTAAAAATGATAGCCAAAATAAAAATTTCAAAATGAATGTTGAAAGATGAATTCAAGCAAGGCTTTAAAAAGTAGAACAAAAATAGGAAGATGAAAAATTAGAATATATTAGAGGGGATTAGTCTGTGAACACCAATATTTAACTCATAGTTCAGAAAGAG